GGGGGTTACAGCGATGTTGGAGCCAGCTAGTGTGAAGGAGCCCAGTCCTCACCTTGGTGAATGTGAGGTTCACAAATCCGCCCTGGAAGTTCAAGAGAAGGTTGGAATTTCGGGAGCCACAGTTCCCAGAGGCTTGGGTTGCATTGGGGTCAATGTTGAAGTATCTCAGAGGTAAAAAAACCTAAAAGAAATAGGTTCAATGAGCTCATGGAGATCCAGAAGACAACTCTAGCTAGGGAACCAGAAGCACAGACTAGTAAGTGAGCCTGAAACTCAAGGCAAGTGGGTGTTCACTTGAGAATTTCAAAGTCCCTGGATGACACCTCATATTTCCAAACTGTTATGTTCAAAAGGTTTTTTAAAGGAGTTCTCCCTCAGAGAGGGGCTCCTTGGCAGATAACTCATGGCAGGTACATTCTTGATAAACTGTGTGGAATTTAATTTTTGTTAAATTACACATGTTGAAAGGCACTGCAGGGAAGGTTTGCTATGCAACATCCTTCTGTTTCAAATGTGGAAGTTCTACTGGAAATCATAAAAACTGTGCAAAAAAAGAAAGCACAATTTTTATGGTGACTCCTTTAGTAAATCAAGTAATCTCAGCCCCTCCAATCTTCTTGTTGATCTGGATTTTCCATATTCGTGTCACAGCTGCCTGGAACCATGGAGACCATCTAACCCAAACCTCTCATTTCACAGGGAAGTTGCTGAGGCTGGGGGTCCCCAGGTGGGTAGGGCCAGGCTGGGATCAACACTGAACACCCCCAGCACTCTGCCTGTGCTGGCTAAGCGTGCAGGGTGTGCATATTTAAATGTTTGGTGTGTGCCTTCCTCTCTCTAAGCAGTCACTGTTGATGTCTAGTTTTATACATATTCTAAAACAGGTTCACCTTTTAATGGAGCACCTTGGAGTACTCCACTCAACCTTTTTGAAGGTAGTGTTACAGCCCCACAGCCCCAACTTACCGACCGCATGTCTTGAACTGTCAGTTCTATCCCCATCTCTGCTTTGATACAGAGCCTGCTTCCATTTAGGACTTGATAAGTTCCAGTCTTGGCTGGTGATGGCAGAGGTGCAAGGGTGGGCCCGGGAGTTGTGGTGACAGGTGAGGCTGTTTGGGTGGCATTGTGTGCAGCTGTGGTTGTTCCTAGGGCATGGGTGGGTTGAGTGGGCTTCTGACTGGTTGTGTTTATGTGTGTTGAGGTGGACAAAGTTGCTGGAAGGGTGGTCTGGTTACTGGCTTGGGTGGTCTTCCCAGTTGTGTGGCTGACGGTAGATGAGTTGGTTCCAGTCGTATGGACCGGGGGGGTGCTGGTGGGTGGCAGTGAACTGGGAGCTGCACTGGGGCTGACGGTAGCCTCAGTGACTGGAGCAGCTGTGTGTGAGTTGTTGGGGGTGGCCAGGGTTGTGACTACTAAAGTGTGGATTATTGGGCTGGTGGACGGGGTGCTGTTCGTGGTTATCAGGGAAGTTGTTAGGGTTTTTATTGTTGTGTGTGTGGTTGGGGTCTCAGAGCTGGAGGTTGTGGCAGCTGCTTGAGAGGTGATGCGACCCCCTGTTGATCTTCCTGCAGTAGTTCTGTGAGGCACTTGGTTAGTTGGTTGCAGAAAAGAAGGTTTTGCTACGGCCTGTGCTGTTGCTGCTCTCGTAGGATGAGAAGAATCTGTGCTTTCTGGAAACCCTGCTGCTCTTACTTGACTGCCGTAATGCAAAATCACTGCAAATTAGAGAACAAAAGTGTTAACAAGACAATTCATGCTCACAAAACCCCTCCCATTTTTCTTAAAAATTAACATGCTGCCCCACCAGCATGGCTCAGCAGTTGAGCATCGACCTAGGATCCAGGAGATCGTGGTTCGATTCCCAGTCAGAACACATCCCAGGTTGTGGGCTTGATCCCCAGCAGGGGATGTATGGAAGGCAGCCGATCAATGACTCTCTCATCATTGATGTTTCTATCTCTCTCTCTAACTCTCCCTTCCTCTCTCTGAAATCAATAAAAATGTATTAAAAAAATACATATTTCCAAATTTGGGGTAAAGTTACAAGTATATAACAATCAAGTGAAGATCACCCAAGGTTCTGCCACAAGGCCACAACTGTGATGTTTGGTAGTGCCACGTTTTTTACAGGGAAGTGATCATATTGCATCCAGCCCCTTTGTCCTGATGGGGTGTGGTACTAACACACCAATGATCATGCTCAGCGAGACAGCTAAGTGTCAAGGCTTCTTCACTCCCCATCTTCAAATGTGAATCCAGACAGTTCCTGGGAAGAGGGTATTCCCGGGTAGAGTGCGGCTGTGATGACCTGCCAGAGCCGGGGCAGCATGAATAACGCTAATAAAGAGATGCAGAGTTGTATAGTTTGCATAAAATCATATAATCCCAGGTTCAAAAGGGATCTTAAAGATCATCTAGTCCAAACCCTAGTCTGATGTGTGAACTGGACCTAGGAGTGTTTGCCATGTGTTCGTCTACTGTGTGATGGGAGATTCAGGAACCTTCCATTTTTTTATCTTGCCACCGGTTTTTCTAAATATAGACCAGCTCCTGCCATTTCCTTACTTAACCCCTTGAGTGGCCCAGCCTTTCTTATGTAAGAAAGAAAATTAAGCCATAATTGCTCTGACACAACTGGTGGGCTATCCTTCATGTTCTGGCTTGTACAGGAGTGGGCAAAGGTAGGTTAAATTACCAGCCATCATTAGCCAAAAGATAAACCATATTACAAAATAATAACAATAATGATAAGAAGACAAATAATACAAATAGATAATACAATAACTAATAAATAAGTAATAATACAAGAATAAACTGTTTTGCATACTCAGAACTGCACACCTACTTTTGCCCCCCCGTGTGTCAGCTCCTCAGAGCCCTTCCTGTCCTTCGTGTATAAACTAGCTCCCATCCCATGAGTCTCCGGCATGGGGTTATGTTTGTTGCCTTCACTGCACTAATCACAACTTGTAATTCTATAAGGAGATGAAATACAAATATTTAACAATAAGCCTGCCCAGACCGTGTGCCCCAGCAGAGTATCAGCTGTGACTAAACGTTTACTTACTGACTTATTTGTTGATTGCACATCTCTCACTAGACTAAAAGCAATCTTGAGGTGGGAGCTGTGTATACTTTTTGCACCACCAGGGCCTGTGCATAGAAAGGCCTCTGGCTCTTTTTCAACCAATAATTCTACCCTTGTCTCCTTCCAGGCAGAGACTGCTGACTACCCCCAAACCCAGTCTCCTCTTTCCCATTAGTAATAGAAACGCCAGTTGAAGCTGAGCACCTGCTGCCTGGAATAAACAACCTTACCTCCTCTCCAGGTGGGTGGGAAAGTGTGACTGGGTTTGAGCCAAAGCAATAGAGGGTTATGTGGGCCTTCTGGGGAGGGAGGCTCCTTGAAGGGAGCTCAGTCACCTGTGTGGCCTCTCTATTGCCATTCTGTTTTCTCCTTCATCCAGCCTGCAACTTGTATGTGATGGCTGGAGCTGCAGCAGATATCTAGAACCACGAGGAGCCCTTTTGGGCAGAAGGATGGTGGGTCCGCGATAATGAGCCCCCACACCAGACCTGGTCTGAGTCCCTCGGGACTTATTTTCACATTAGAGAGAAATGAACACTTATCTTGTTTAATTAACTATTACTTGGCGCTTGTCTCTTACATGCAGCTGAACCTAAATGTTAACTGACACAAATTTAAATGCCTTCCTTTTCCGGAGAAGCAAAATGACTGGACAACAATTACACAGCTAGTTTACCTAGAAGCTATGTCTCTCCTACCGAAATGTCTGATGGTTTTCTCATCTCCAATTCACCAAGTATTTCTTGAACACGTGCATGCAGGTGCAGTGGTGCAGGACATGGACCACGAAGCCAGTCTCAGGGCTGCCACCTGCTAGCTGAGTGACCATGAGCAATTCCTGAGCCAGCCTCAGTACCCTCCTGTGAAAATGCGGCAACTTCACATGCTTCATTCACTCAGGTCACCTCTGAGAATCCGTGGCATTTCCTTCACCCTGCCTGTGCATTTACTGAGTGCTCATGGCACTTCTGAATCTGTCAGTCATCTGTCAGCCTTGAATTGGCCCTCACACACAGGGCACTGAGGTTACTGCTAGATGGAGATCTTCTGGTTTTTTATTAGCTTGCCCTGCTGAATGAAATGATGACTTCCCTTTTGGCCTCCAAAAGAATGTGAAACTCTTAATTCTGAAAATGTGGCACAAGAACAGCCTGGAATAGGGCAGCTGGCCTGATCCTTTAAGCAACTTCCATAACAATTCATGTTACACTCAAGTGCCACTGTGTCCCCCACCTGGGCATGTTAGCAGGGCCGTGTGGACAGAGCTAGTTCCCTCATAGGTTCAGTTCCGTGGTTCTAGAAGGAATTGTGAATTAACCGGCAAACCTGATAACTACACACAGGAGGACTCGGAGTCTTAGAGAGAAAGCGCTCTTGGTGAAAGCAGGGGGTGGGGGACATAAAATAGTCATTAAAGACTCAGTTTCCCAGACAGCTTCTCTGATCTGAAGTACAATGGTAACACTGAAAAATCTCTGACACCCCGGCTTACAACTTCTTGAAATGACACAATTTGTCAGGCTACATCTCTTTCAGCTTCACAATTCTCTGTATATAAAATATAAACATAGCATTTCTGTTTGAGGAAAACAGGAAAAGCAAGACCCGAGGTGCTTTTCCCAGATGATGGAGCAACAGCCCCATTTCTAAGTCCTGCCTCGGTTCTCTCTCTCTTAAAATGTAAGTGATCTCTGCAAGCTCCCTGAGAAGGTGCCCAGAACCCACCTGGGAATAAGAGACGGTGTCACTCTCTTCTGGAGTTGCCACCTACTCTGCCTAACTCACAGAAAACAAGTCCACATTGTGAAAGCCCTGGGAAAAAACGTAGTGTGGCCACCGTATGTAAGGTAATAGGAGACCTTGGGAGCCAAATACCCACAGTAACGGAAGCTATGACAGCTGTCCACAGTCTGTCCCCCTCACCTTGGTCAGTGTCACCAAAACGCATTCAAGTCTAATAGGACCAGACATGACAGGGTCACTACACAAAGTCATGCATGTCACTCACCAGCCAGGGACATGAAGAGCAGCATCGCTGGAGAGAGCTGCCAGGGCATGGCTGGGGCGCAGGAGCTGCGGACGGAGCCACGGACGGCCTCGCTTGCACAGCTGGGTTTTCTGGCCGGCTGGAGGCTAATTCCAGGCGAGCTCCCTCCTTCACTTGTGGCAAAGGAACCGAGTCATTAACATAAAGAGAAGTAGCTGAAAGGCCCTCACAAGTGGTGAGCTCTCTGGGGAGGGAAACCACAAGGGCCCTTGGGAGAAAGCAGGCACTTTCATCTGGTGTGGCGTGCCCCTCCCAATTTCAGGGGCATCTGAGATAATTTCTCCACAAGAGGTGCTGGGTCTGTGGCAGTGACACCCAATTCTCTCTTAAGCTGGGTCTCCCTTTTCCTCTAAGATCTTGAGTACATTTCTGGAAACCCAGAGACTTCTCCGCCAGGAGACAAGCAGCCCCTCAGTCATAAGGGCGAGCGTCTTGGAACTCACAGGCTAGACCATGGTCTGTCTCCGTGCGTACTCACAAAACGTCTGAGGCAGCCGGGCTGGATCCCCACGGCCACCTCACCTGGGGCTCCACCTGAAGACCTCACCTTGCGTTCAGCAGGAGAAGTGTGAGCCTGGGGTCAGGAAGACCTGGGTTTGACGCTGACCCTTCCAACTCACCAGCTGTATGACCTTGGGTAACCTCCTGAGCCTCAGTTTTTTCTGCTGTACAATGGGGAAAATAATGCCTACTCCCAGGTGGTTTTACAAACCAAAAGTTCCTGGAACACAAAAAATACTCAGTATCTTTGAAAGACAACCTTTCTATGTCTTATATCTTTCCTCTGTTAATTAGACAAAACAATGGTGGTTTATCTCTCAGGCCTGTGGTTCTGAGTGAAGAATATACACTCGTTGCCTATCGTATTACTCTCAATAGAACAGACCAACACAACATAGGGGAGCACAACTCATTCCAGAACAATGGTCTGTCTTGTAANCTATCGTATTACTCTCAATAGAACAGACCAACACAACATAGGGGAGCACAACTCATTCCAGAACAATGTTCTGTGTGCACTTAAGAAGAAAGTTCCCAGAAAGGGGACCTGGCCCTGAGAGGGTCTGCCTAGAGCCAGCTGGTCGTGTGTGGGTTCCTGACTTTGTGCAGGAAAAATTTCACAATACGAGTCCAGGTGAATTTTAGAGGAAGTTTCTTAAAGCTGGAGACAGTGAAACAAGGAAGGGCTTAGGATAGAAGAACCAACAGGAGAGAGACTAGGAGGGGAAATGAGCCTAGTGGGCTGCTTTGGCTCACTTAAAAGTCAGAGAAAAGGGGGCCTTGGACACAGGGTCAGGGATTAGCCTGGGACAAGCTGCCACTGCCCATTGCTGCACTGGTTGCAAGTCTCATGGGGACCCTTAGAGTTTAGGAGATGCATGCCTGTGGGGGAAGAAGAGGGGAAGGGAAGGAAATGTTTTTCCTTCAATTTCAGGTTAGATGGTGCCTTGTGAATTCAGCTCTCTCATGAGCTCAAGAAAAGTGAATTTGCATATTTTCCAGATTTTTTTAGTCTTGCATCGGGATAGTCCTCCTTCTAGCTTTCTACATCTCAAGCAGAAGATACTATTTTTAGCAGCTGCAGAGTTCCCTCATACGTCAGTACAATACTTTATTAACCAGATTTTTATTATTTAATATTATATTTGTTATCTATTGTTGCTTAACAAATGACCCCAAAACTTAGCAGCTTAAAACAACAAACATTTGTTATCTCATGGCCCCCGGGTAATGAATCCATAAGCAGCTTAGCTGGGTTCTTCTGGCTCTGGGTCTCTCATGAGGTTTCAGCCAAGAAATCAGCTGGAGCTGAAGTCATCTGACAGCAGGACGGGGGCTGGGCAGTCTACTTCCCAGGTGGCTCGCTCACACGGCTGCTGGCAAGAGGCTTCAGTTCCTGTGCGCGGGTCTCGTCCTAGGGCTGCTTCAGTGTCTTCTCAACACGGTAGCTGGCTTCTTCCATGGTAAGTCAAGGGGCAGAATGGGGAAGAAGAAAAATGCCTTTTATAACCCAGTCTTGAAAGTCTATTAGCATCACTTCCACCACATTCTATTTATGAGAGTGACTTCCACAGCCCACACTCAAATGGAGGAGTGCAAACCTGGGTATACATTTTAACACTACCACAGACATTTAGGTTGTTCCCCATCTTCTGTTGCTTGTTTTCCCATTAAAAGGAATGTTAAAATGAACACCTGTCTGTATCTATATATCTTTGTTCATTTGTAATCGTTAAAATAAATTCCTAGAAGTGGAATTGCTGGATCAAATCGTATACATATTTTAAATTTTGATAGCCATTGCAAATTGTCTTCTAAAATCTAGTACTAATTATACTCTCACTAATGGTCTATGAGAGTACTGGCTTTCCTACAGTCTTCCCAATACTGGATGTTACCAAAGTTTTAAATGTTGGACTGTCTGATAATGAAAAATGATATCTCACTGTTTTACTGCTTTTTGTATATTTATTGGCTTTTGAATTTCTTTTCCTGTGTATATTCATGTCCTTTGCCCATTTCTTTTTATTATTTTTATTTTTTTTATTATTGTTGAAAGTATTACTGATGTCCCCTTTTCCCCCCCATTGATCCCCTCTACTTGGCATCCACCCACCTCATTTCTTTTTCTACTGTTATTATTGATTTGTAAAAGCTCTTTATATACAAAAGAAATAGTCTGTGCCATATATTTTTAAAATGTCTTTATGGCCCTGGCCAGGTGGCTCAGTTGGTTGGATCATCGCCCTGTACACCAAAATGCTGCAGGTTCAATTTCTGGTCAGGACACATACGCAGGTTGTGGGTTTAGTCCCCGATCAGGGCATGTACAGGAGGTAACTGATAGATGTTTCTCTCTCTCTCTCCTTCTTCTCTCTCTCTTAAAAAAAAAAATCAACGAAACATATCCTCTGGTGAGGATTAAAAATATATTTATGATTTGATTTTCTTGTTCTTTTTTCCTGCATATAAGTTTTTGCCTCTTAATAGCCTAATTAATCAAGATTTTCTTTTGTAGCGTTTGGTTATAGTTTTTGCCTGGAAAGACTTTACCTTGTTCAAAATTATTTTTTAAATGTTTTGACTTTTGTGATTCCTTTAAGTCATATTTGAACAGTATGAATTATTTTAAGGGTTGAGGCAAACACTATTTTTTCCACACTGCTATCCAGGAATCATAGCAACATGTTCACACATAATTTATCTTTTTTTTTTTTTTTTTGGTTCAGAGCTAATTTGAAATGCCTCTTTCCATACTCTAAATTCTGAGGCGTATCTGGGTCCATTTCAAGATATTTACACTCTGTTCCTCTTATGTTTGTTTATTCCCGTAGTACAGTAAGTCCCCACTTAATGTGAGAGAGGTTCTTGGAAATGACATATAACAGAACCAATTTTACCATAGGCTGATTGATATAAATAGGAGCTAAGTTCCTATGACGTATTTCCGGTCACAAAAACATCATGAAACTTCTAAAGACCCAAAACACTTCTAACATTAAACATTAAAATAAATGTGAACTATACATACATTTAAAAAAGATGAATAAAAACAAAGAAGATAATTATTGTCCAACCCACTTCTTCCAGTTCAGGGTTGAGGGCAGCTGGAGCCTCTCCCTGCAGCTCAGGGTGCAAGGCATGAACCAGCCCTGGAGAGGACGCTCTTCCACCTCAGGGCGCGCTCATATACACCCACACTCACTCAGACTGGGACAGTTTAGACACGGCACCTCACGTGCACACCTTTGGGAGGGGGAGGAAATCAGAGTGCCTGGAGAAAACCCACTCAGCCATGGGCGGAACGTGCAAACTCCATAGAAACAGTGCCCCCAGGCAGGAACTGATTTTCCTTTTTTTAATAACATCAGTGAAACACTGAATAAAACAACATTATTTGAGGACCTGCTGCATGTGTTTTCTGGCAAATTAAAGTATTATAATATAAACCTATCATTTTTGCTACTTTAATAGCCATATTCAACAGTTTATCCATAGGTAAACACTGCTAGCAGATTATAGATGCAACTGATATTTTATAGAGAATCGGCGAAATTATGTTTTATAAAGCTTTCTATCTTCATTTGACAATAAACTTGGAACTCAAGAGGCACTTCACATGTTGAAGGAGTAAGCAATGCTAGCGTGGCCTCAGAGTGGGACGACCTGGATTGCAGTCCCCAGTCCCCTGCAGGCTGGCTGGGTGACCTTGACACAAAGTAATAAAATTGCAGTTGGGCAATGGCCTCCTAGCTACATTCCCAACCCCTGTTGAAGCTTGCTGTGGCCATGCAACAAAGCTTTCACTAAAGGAATAGAAGGCGTGTGTGCCATTTGCAGGTGGGCCTTCAAGCATTGCACTTGCAATCTGCCAAGTTCTTTCCCCTCCCTGGAAGCTGGAAATCAGACACTGTGAGGCTTGCTTTTTAGACTTTGTAGACAAGGACAATGTTCTAGGAGATGAAAAATCAGAAGGAAGGAATCTGGGACCCCAGATGTGGAGCCAAGCAGCCTGCATACCCAACCAGGGCTGTTTTAGGGGACAGAAATATTCTTTAAGTCACTATATTGTTGGATCTTTTTGTTGCAACCGCTTAACCTTTCCCTTCACCAATACACACGGGATACTATATTCCACAAAGAAAAGAGTTCAAGTAAGTTTGGGAAACAATGAGTTTAACAAAAGCACACACACTTCCTTTCTGCACGAGTTCTCAGATCCTTTAATCTAATTGGAATCAACCAAGAGAGGAACAGAATAGGTCGTGTTTTTAAAATGTACTTATTATTTGATAATTTTGTTGTGGGATTAACTCATTTAACTCTTACACTCTTTTGCCTATTCTGCAAAATATGCTCTGGGATATGCTGGTTTAAAGGATCTCTGTTTCTAATTATTTCATAGTGCATCAGACTCCTGCCAGATTTTACAGATCCAGGCCGCTGCTTCAGCCAAGACACTCATGTGGGGCGACAGCATTTCCTCCTCAGCAACACGTTGAACTTTGGGTCTCTCTAGTGGGCAACGGGCAACACTGCAAAGTCATGGATGGTTTGGACAAATTGTGAAAGGAGGCTGGAGGATTTTATCTGACGGTTTTGGATTCTTTTCCATTTACTCAAATGGAAAGGTGACACAAATTTTACTCACAGGAGATCCACCCTCCTGTTTTTAAGAAGTCTAAAAAAATCACAACTATTTCCTGAGTGAGCAGTGTGTCCAGACCCCGGGGGGTAGGGGGACACAGTGTTTGCTGGAGACCTACTGTGTGTCTGGCATGACTTTATAAGAATTATTCCACTGTTCCTGTCCCACCCCAGAGCTCAGCGAGAGTCTTGATTCTTTCAGCTCAGTTTTCTCCCAGAGGAAACCTACACACAGAGTAGCAATGTAGGGCTTGCACAAGGAGGCCAGGATGGAAGGTCAGAGTGGAGCATCCTGGAGCACCTGGGGGAGGCATCTGGGAACACCAGCCATGACGGCTGGTATTGAACTGGCTCCTCTGGTCGCCCACCTGGGATGGGAGGTGTGTGGAGAGGGTCTTCCTGCGAGGCCAGGAGGTTTGGGCACTTTGCACTCAGCCAGCACTGTCAACTGTGGCCATTTCCAAAGATTCAGAAAATGACTACAGTCTAAAGGATTGAGAAAGCTTTGGGCTGTTTGTCGTGAGTGGCTAGCTAGTCAGCGGAGAAAGTGTTTCAGAAGATCTAAATTATGTTTCCTGACTATCCTAATAGTCAGAACCCTGAAAGTTCTTCTTCTGTCCAGCTCTGGTCTTACATGTCCTCACTGAGACATGCATCTATTGTGATTGATCATTGGACAGGCCAAAGCAGAGAAGTCTGCTGAGAAACCTACATCAAGGCTGCCTGCATGCATGTGCACTATAGGAAGTGTGAAAATATGCCACCACAGATCATACTCTATTTTGACTTGGTAACATGGCCAGTGCTGTTCATGCAGCAAAGAGATCTGTGTGCTTTAAAAATCCCAATTTGAAAAAAAAAAAATTAAATTAAAATTAAATTAAAATTAAAAAAAAAAATTCCAATCTGTTGATTCACAAGCCTGGGTTGGGTCTAAAGCAGGTCCCCACTTTGGGGGATCTAGCCTGCAACAGAGGTACCTGCCCTTAGCCAGGATCAAACCCGGGCCCCTCAGTCCTCAGGCTGATGCTCTAACCACTGAGGCAAACCTGCTAGGGAAACAATTCTTTATATTAAATTCTCTCTTTTAAAATAATGGGTATGGTGTTTCTCTGTTGATTGGATCCTGACTTACAGATTAATTCCGAACTAAATAATTCTGAAAATAAATAAACCTGAAAATAAAGTAAGTAAAAGTACAGAACAGAAAAAAAATTAAATGGCAAAGGCATAACTGAAAAGGGGTAACTAAAAACAAGTAACTGAAAATAACTCAAAATTAAATGTCAAAAAACTATGAAAATTAAAAATTCAGAAAATATAAGGCTCAAAAATAAAATAAGTCTAAAAATGAAGTAATTTAAAACTAAATAACTAAAAAACCCAAATGACAAAAAATGTAAAAGTAAACAAAACAGAACCAAAAATGGCTAAAGTAAAAAACTGTGAGCATAGCCACTTTAAAACTAAATAACTAGGAGGAAACCCTAAAATAACTAAAAGCATTTTAACTCTTAAAACAAAATAACTGTAAATAAATAACTGAAAATGAGGAAGTCAAAAACTAACCTTTAAAATAAAATAATTATAAACAGGTAACTTTAAAGCTATGAAATTAAATAACTATAAAACTAAAATCTAAAAATTAACAAAAACACACAAATTAATCCAAAAACGAATGCATCTAAACGTAAATATGTCAGAAGTTAACTTGTAACCACCCAACCCTGTGTGAAACGAAA